TTTTTTTTTTTTTTTAACCTCAGTACAGGGGATCAAACTCAGGTCCTTGTGCTTGTGAAGCAGGCACCAGAACCACTGAGCTAAATCCCTGGCCTATCTTTTATTTTGAGACAGTTGCCCAGACTGGATTCAAACTTGCAATCCTCCTGCCTCAGCCTCTTAGGGTGCTAGGATTATAGGCACTTGCCACCACATCATTTGAATGAATCATTTTGTCTTTATTTTGAGTTTGTAGTCATATGTCACCATAGATGTTACAAGGGAACCCTATGGAGGTGTATAATGACCGAGAACCTTTTTTTGAGGGGGAGGGACAAACTCAAAGTCTTATACATATTATACATGTACTTTACCACTGAGTTAAACCCCCACTCCCTGAGAGCCTTTATATTAAACTCTGCAAGAACCTATAAGAGCTGGATGTGTTGGTGCATACCTGTGATCTCAGCACATGGAAATGAGTTTCAGGCCACCCCAGACTACACAGCAAGTTCAAGGCCAGCCTGACTACAGAGTGAAACCTGTCTCAAACAAGAGAAAAGAAGCTGGGTGTGGTGGCGCACACCTGTAAACCCAGCACTGGGGAGGCTGAGGCAGGAGGATCACTGCAAGTTGGAGACCAGCCTGGGCTATATAGTGAGTTCCAGGTCAGTCTCAACTACATAGTGAGACCCTGTCTCAAAAAACAAAACAAAACAAAACAAACAAACAAAAAAACAAGAGAAAAGAAAAACCTATATGATTGATTTGTTTAGTTTTATTTTATTCAATTATTATTATTTTTAAGATAGCATCTCATGGGCCAAGGATTTAGTTCAGAGGTTCTGCTCCCTGCCTCGCAAGACCAAGGACCCAAGTTTGATCCCTGTACCAGAAAACAAAACAAAACAGTGCCTCACTATGTTGACTGTTCTTGAACTCATGGCCTTATATGATCAGCTCACTTCAGTCTCCTGTGTTTCTGGGGCTACAGGTGTGTTGCCACCACATTCAGCTTAAATTATTTTTAAAAAGATGGATGTGTAGGACAGGAAACAAAGGCAGGTGAATGTCCTCTGGGGATCTGGTCCTCACGGAGCTTTCTTTTGTGTATACTGACAGGGTGAAGGTGCTTGAAATGAGCTCTATCGAGGACGACCCAGGGCCCAAATCTAGGCCCAGGGAAACAGGATACCTCTCTGCTCTGAAATGTTGATGAGCTGCAGAGGGGAGAAGGACAGGAGGAGCAGATGGAATTCCTGGACAATTGTTCTGGCTGTCACCAGAGAGGGCAGGCAGGAGGGGGGGATTGGATAATTTATGGAGGGACAGATGCTAAGGCTTCTCCGGAACCATCTGGCCAGGAGAGGCCTGTGCATAGGTCTTCACTACATCTGAGCGATCTCTCCTCAGCCCCCAGCCCAGCCTACTTCCCCCACCTGTCCTGCGTGCTGAGCTGGGCTTTCCCAGAAGGGCTCTTGCTCCCTGGGGATCCAGCTCCAGAATATCTCTTCAGTCTCATCTCACGTTCTCCCTTGTTGGTCTGGGGTGTTTCTTTGCTATCCTTCCTGCTAGGGCCAAGAAAGAGGCATTGGGGTCCTGTATCTTCTACCTACACATTTCTTTATTTTATAGTCCTTGCAAGCCCTCTTTCCCACTACTGGGAATCCACAATCTTTCAATCACTCACCTCCAGATCATTTATCTATTCCATAACTAGGCCCAGTGTCTACTGGGGACCCAGTGATGCTTAAGAAAAGTCCCAGACCTCTGCAGTTTATATCGTACTGGGAGAGAGAGAGCCAGTAAACCAGGAAATATTTAGTAGGATGTCAGATACTTATTGTGAAAGCAGGATAAAGGCAAGTGACTGAGAAGGCTGATTTAGACTGAGTGACCCGGGAATGTTTGTCTGAGGCAGTGACATTTGAGGAGAGACACAAATGGAAGTGACTACTTAGAGAAAAAATATTCCAGTCACAGGAAGGAGCAAACTGAAGTCAGTTCTGAGGCAGAAATATGCTACTGCATCGGAGAAGATCATGCTTTTTATTCATGAAGCATTTATGGTGTGCCAGGAATGTCAAGATGCACTACTCACACCTGCTTGAAGGAGCAGTAGGACAAAAGGTTCTACAGCAGGTAAAGATGTAATTACGGCACTGGATAGCAATAATAACCTTATATGCAAGTTGCTAGAGGGGCCCAGCAAAAGCAGCACTAGAAGGAGGGCTTTCTGGAGTAGGTGATGGTTAAACTGAAGGTCAAAGAAGTCAAAAATAGGGGAAGGGAGGGGCTGGATAGTTTAAAGCGTGAATGTCTGAAAACACAGGATAATTTAAGAAGCTGAAGTTCTAGAGAAAGGTGGAAAGTGGGGCTGGGTTATGCAGATCTCCTCATGCCAAGCTGAAGAGCTGGTTTTATTTGTACGATGGAGAACCAATACCACTGCTCTCCCATTATATTTTTGAGCTAGGTTCTCCTCCCGACTTCCCCTCACGTCTCCTTCCTTCTCTCGTGGCCCTCCCAGCCCATTTTTCTTTTTTGTACCGGGGAGCGAACTTGGGTCCTATGAGCTTGCGGGGCAGGCGACGGAACCACTGAGCTAAATCCCCGGGACCCTCCCAACCCCTTTCTGAGAGATTCCGGTATTTCTCCGTCGCTCAGCCTCCCTGGGCCCGGGACCCGAGGCTCCGCCCCTGAACACGCCTCTTCCCGCCCCCCGTGACGCGCAGTGCGCCGTGCGTGGGGATTCCCGCGGCCCGGGCCATTACCCGGCCTGCCCCGCGGCAAGATGGCGGCTTGAAGGCAGCGGGTACCGGCGGAAAGTTTCTTGTGGGATAAGAGTGGTGGGGCCAGGAGGCTAAGGTAGGGGGGGGGTCGTAGG